AGAACTCATACAGAGAGAAGGATATACTTACTTCATACACTTAAGAATGATTGCTAATAGGGAGGACAGAGGAATAAAAGTGGAAAATGGAGAAGAAAAGGAGTATATGAATGAATGACTAAGAGAGGGCCTTACACACCCAACTGCTAAGCACCATGAATTAAAGAATAAGATTTAATCAGCGTGCTGTACTTGAAGTTGAAAAAAAAAACGTTGCCAGAAAAATAGTTAGTAGGTGGCACTGAGACATAATTTCCAAGAACACATTGTGGCTTGTGGAATGCTGAAACAACATCTGCTCCAAAGCCAAGTTAGTTGCAATAATAAGAACAACATGGGACAGATGGTGAGGCAAGGGCCAAACCGAGTGACCAGTACTGGAGAAAGCAGGGGTGCTGTCGAAATTCTGTGGCAAATTTACGTGAGCCTCATTTGCAGGGGATTCTAGGTCTGATATTCTTGTCAGTTGCACTCAAGCACGAGCAGAGATTATGACTTGGAGTCTCACCACTGAATATAAGTGATACCAAGGATTACTCCTTCATGCTTTTAAGGGTCAACTGTGGCCTTGAAGGTTGGGCTGCTTTTTCAAGTGGAGCTCAGGTTATGATCGATATATGCACTAAAAAATTAGAAACAAGAAGCATTTGGAGTGTGTTATGGAGGACCTGAATTCTCACCAGAGTAATTAAATTAAAATATGACAATAATAGAAGAGAAATACTTCATCATCACACTAGACTTTCCTTTTCCTTGATTTTATGTTTAGAGTTGGTATGATTTCCTTGGTCCAAAATCATACAAGTTCTGGAAGATTCTTTGTGTAAGAGGTTGTAAGAATACTTAAAAAAGGATCATATGTAGAACCTGCAATATAGTCAATATCAATTCAAAACCATGTTGTATCTGTAATTCATTAAACTTTAAGTGAGTATTGCTCTTCTCTTTTTACCACTGGAAAAGCTAAATGTGTTTTGTTCATTCATTGTGGTGTTACTCCAAACATAATTAACTCCCTTTCAGGAATTAACATATTTGATGGTGTTTATTTGGGCTTTTTCAAATTGTACATAATGATATTAAAGAGATATTTATTAAGTTGAACTGAATCTTTGTATCCATAGATTGTGAAGGCAAAGAAGTGGTTCAAATAAAACAAGATGCATTATTGACTTATTAGATTTATTAGGTCATGTCTAATGACATGAAAAGATTAAGATAATCACTCAAGTTCATGCAGGCAATTAGTGGGGGAACCCCATCCTAACCCGGAGTTCTACACTTAAATGTTGACTCATAAAGCAAGCTGAAGAGGCAATATAATATAGTGGTTGAGACCAACCTGGATTTGAATCACAGCCCCACCACTTACTAATGATGGGCAAGTCCCTTGCAGTCTCTACACATAAGCAGTTTCTTCTTCAATAAACAGACCTAATAACAGTGTGTTATACAGTTGTTATAGGGATGCAGAATGGAGATTATCTGAAGCCGTACTCTCCAATAGAAATACAATGCAAACCACAAATGTGAGCCATTTATGCAATTTTAAATTTTCTAGTAGTCATTTTAGGAAGTAAAAAGAATAAAATTACCTTTGATAACATATCATTCAATCCAATATATCGAAAATATTATTTTAACATGCAATCGATGTAAAAATATTAATGAGGTATTTTGTATTCTTTTTTTCATACTAAGTCTTCAAAATTTAAGCACATCTTGGTTTGGACTAGCCACATTTCAAGTGCTTAGTGGCCACATGTGGCTGGTGGCTACCGTACTGGCCAATCAAATATTAAGTATTTAGCCAAGTGCCTATCACCAAGAAAGCACGCAAGGAGTACTGACTCAAAAGCATTCCCTGGACTTAGTCCCAGGTTGGTTGCACCCCTTCCTCTGTTATAAGCATAGAAAAGATTTGTTAGCAGCACAAGCTTGAAGTCTCATACTCCCTCCATTTCAGTTATTCTTGGCCTGTTTGCTCCAGGGAATAGGAGGTTGCCCTTTTTTCCCTTCTGACAGGAGCAGAGCGTTGTTAGCCCTGGAGCTTTTTCAGATGAGAGTTTCCCTGAAAATCAAGATAAAGAGTGTAACCTCCATAAAGGATTTCACAGGACTTTCGTCCTTGCGAACAGATTGCATCTGGCCGGGTGAATATTTAATGTGCTTTTATTACCACTGGAATACACCTGGAGTCAAAATTATATCATAAAAGATTATTTCTACCCATGATGTGGGTAAACACCTTCCTTTTATCCTTCCCATCGCATTCCTCCTAGGTTTCCTTGGGAATCTAGCCCCAAGCAGTACAATTAATTCATTTGAATTGCCTCTTTTTTTCTGAGGGGGAGGTAATTAGGTTTACTCACTTATTTATTTTAATGGAGGTACTGGGGATTGAACCCAGGACTTCAGGCATGCTAAGCACCCACTCTACCACTAAGCTCTTCCCTCCCTCCCCTACTTGAATTATGTCTTTTACATCTGCTCGTGGCATCGCAGTTGCCTTTACCTGCTGAATTCTTGGCGATTGACAGGCTGAGCTAGGAACGCTGCCTTCTGCTGGTGGCTATGTTGAAAGTAAGTGTGGATTGAGGAGTCAGACTCCTCAGGGGCCCTGGCAGGACCCCCCAGAAAGCCCACAGGGCAGTGTCCAACTGTCTTCGAAAGATAACACTTATATTTGTAGAATGGTAGAAACAGGTTCCCCAAGTTAGATCAAAATCAGACAGGCAAAGGAAACTCTGTTCCTAGTCCCTGAAGGTTGAGTCAGACTTGGAAACACCAGCCTAACCCAGGGTGACCTGGAAACATTCAGCCTGACCTGGGTCAACCCTGATGCAAAAGAACCTTTAGAATCTTGGCGAGCAGAGACTGATAATGCCATAACCTTCCTTAAAACCTTGCACAGCTCCCCATTAGATAGAGAATACATTCAGGCTCCTCGGACTGACATTCAGAACCTCCCAAGGCTGGCCTGCTCACACAGTTCCCTTACTTCCCACTCCTTCTCCTCTCCAATTGTATTATTCTACTTTCTATTTTTCCCTTCCATTCTCTTTCTTTCTGAATGTTGTTCATGTTCTACCATTCACCTAAAAATCGCTTAATAGTTAGTCTCCACTACTATCTTTGAAGTCTCGACGCTAACCACACGTCTTTCCAGAGATGAAATCTTTCCTTCCCCTTCTTATACCTCCAGTAGAGCTCCCTTCTAAGTATCAAGCATTTAGCCTTTTTAGTGGGCATTATAGGTGCTTCAGTAATTATCCTACCATTTCCCCATTATGTAGTAGTCACTCATTTGGGGAGAATGACTGCATGCAGCTATAATGATTGACTCTGGTAGAAACTACTATAATCGAATTCTACTCATGATTGGTTCAGGTATGGACAATAATCCAGCCTGAGTCAATCAGTGCATGGCATTCCCTAGGGATCTGGTTCAGAGTGGTCCAGTTCTCAATGCAAATTCAATGGCTGGAGGAAGGGAAGACTTTTCTCATGCCCTCAATGGTATTTATCACTATACTTTTTTATTGAAGTATAGTTGATTTATAATTTTGTGTTGGTTTGAACTGTACATCCAAGTGATCCAGGTATATACATCAGATTATTTTCCATTATAGGTTCTTACAAGATATTGAATATAATTCCCTGTGTTATATAGTAAATCTTTGTTGCTTACCTCATGATAATTTAAGATTAATTCTTTTATTCACCAAAAATATTTGGGATGGTTGACTTTACCATTGAATTTGAGCTTCTGGAGGCTGTAAACCATTTACTGTCCTTCCTAGCTCCTAGCATAGTGGCTTACAAGGGGCTCTAAAAATGTTGGTTGAATTTGTATTCAATCTCTGTGGACTTGGAGGACACACACCAAACTCAACCATGGGCCCAGACTCCTGGATTTGTCCTTAGAATGTCTGGACTTTATTTTCCATGATACTGACAATATATGGAACAGGACTGGGACAGACAGACTAAATGTAAAGGATTAAATTAATCCTGAGTCATACATATACTCACTGTTCTTTGTACCAAGTCAAGCCAACTTTTCCCTAAATGTGGACTCTACCAGACTATAGCAGTTTCTAACCTGTGTTATCACATACCACCTTTGATCATCTCATTATGTGAAATAAAGATAATATGGAAAAGTTCCAGACTTGGTCAAGGTCACAAGACATCTAGATTACTTCTGAAATGCAGGAACATAGATAATCGGGCTTCTACTGGGGTGAATCATCTAATGTCTGTTTGTTTTCATTATTTTCCTGGAAAATTCTTGTGCTAACTAGAGAGTGACTTAACCTGAATAGCCAGCCTGACAGGCTTCTGTTGGTTTGGGACAGTAATTAAAATGTTTTTTAATCTCTCCAAACCACTTCACACATGTGCAAAATTCAAGCTGATTATTCCATTTTGTTTTGGTGTCAGAGCTTACAGAACAGTGGTAAGAGTGTGACCGCTGGTGCCAGACTGCCTAGATTTGAACCCTGGCTTTGCTACTTACTAGCCGTACAATCTCGGGAAAGTTATCTAAACTCTCAGTGTCATCATCTGTAAATGAGAATAATGCTGGTACTTACCTCATTGGATTTTGTGAAGTTTAAATGAGTTACCATATGTAAAGTGCCTAGAACTGTATAGTTAAGGTCGCAGTAAATATTAGAGCTGTAATTCAGAGGATTTCTAATAGGGACTCCAAATAAAACTAGTCAGTGAATTTCAGTGATTTGTGCCTCTGGAGACCCCCAGGCCAGCTCTGTAAGACAGCAGGACATGGTAATGAGGTGGTAATAAGAAAACCACTTTCCTTTCCCTCAGCAGGCTGACAGTCTCTTGAGCCCTTAACTGGGAATCTGAACCCCTAGTTACTAGCTTCTTGATCTTGGGCAAGCTATTCAATCTCTCTGAAGTTCTTCTAGTTTTTGTTGTTGTTTGTTTGGGTGGGGAGATAATTAGATTTATTATTTACTTACTTATTTTAATGGAGGTACTGGGGATTGAACCCAGGACCTCATGCATGATAAACATGCACTCTGCCACTGAGCTATAGCTTCCTCCCATCTAGTTTTTTTTCAGATGTAATTACAGTAAAATGGGCATATAACCCCTACCTCACAGGATTACTGAAAAGGAAGGAAAATATTTCAAGTGCCGACCAGTGTTCCTGACAAACAATAGAGGCTTCTCTCCTCAAAGCCCACCTTGAGTTTATTAAGGAGAGGTAGCTTGAAATTATATTTAATAAACTATTTCCCTAAAATGAAATTTATCTTAATTTAATTATACTATTTGAATCAGCCACAAGACAATTTTAAAGAAAGACTAACATTCTCCAAAAAGACAGAAAGAAGGGGCATCATTTCAAACTATTCTTTATACAAATTCCACTGGTCCACTATATATAAATGAAAACTGTTTACACACATAAAGATTTTAACTATTGTTTAATTGTCTTTATAATTTAGCATTTAAAAAAGTTTTCTGAGTTATTTTGTTGTGTATATATTCAGCATTTCTATGTGTCAACTTTTTAGGGAGGTATAAAACCAATCTGTCTTATCTGAATAAAGCTTCTGGCCTTCTGTAAAGTTTCACATGAGAGCACCAGCAAGTTTTGTCCGTCTTTGTAAATCTAATTTCTGTCCTATACAGAATACTTAAGAATGTTAATAATATTTATTGAACTCATATATAGTGCCAGGCACTTTTTTTTGCTTCATCTCATTTAATCCTTAAAACATCTCCATCAGGTAAGTACTACATATTATTCCCATCTTATAGATGAAGAGTCTGACACACAGAGAGGTTAAGTAATTTGCCTAAGGTCACACAGCTACAAAATGATGGAAGTAGGATTCAAACACAAATGGGCTTTCGTGTCCACTGACAATGTTGAACTTTATCTGAGCCCTGTGCTCCCAAAAAACGATTGAGATACCTCGTGGCCTTTTTGCATTCCAGCTAAAAGGACTGCCCTGCCTATGGGAAATAAGACCTGTCATCATCCTAACTCAGGGCTCTCTTGATTACATGCCTCTACAAAACTCCAGACCGTCTATCTTCCTTTAAGACATTCATTCCTCCTTAATGAACATTTTTCCCATAGCAGTAGCCTGAATAAGATGATCTCTTTAATTTTCCAGTGTGTTTTTTGTCTTCACACCACAAACTTACCCACTCAGGAAAAAGTCCTCAGTATCTAAGAAAATAAAGTCCAATTCGGAGAGCCCTAAACTGCTGTCCGATACATAATGCCTTTTTTGGTAGAATGGCCCACACCCATTTCATCCGACCTCTCATAAGCACTTCAGAAGTTTTTACCAACAGGGACAGAAGGCAGATAGATCCCTGAGAAGATGCGAGGTAAGGTGGCTATAGAAAATGAAGACTGCTAAAGCTGCCAGCTGTTGCTAAACAAAGTGTAAACAGATTTGAGGCTTTAAAAACAGAACTCCTTTCCCCAAATCAACCTCTCCTTCTTTCCGTGCGTCCTTCCCGCCCTCTTTCTTCCAGAATTTCACCCACATGCAAAGGTTCTCAATAGAAACCTTTAGCAAAATTTTTAACCAGCTCCACTGTGTACCACTGCACTACTTTCTAGGGTCTGGCAAAGCTCTCCATCTCACTCTTATAATCCACCATATCTGGTACTGTTGGTATCCAAGATTTTACTTTTTTTCTCAAGATCCAGAGAAAAGCTTTCCTTTTTCTTCCAATGTTTTGTTTTACCATAGATGGTAAACAAAACAAACTGTTTTTACAGTGTTCTTTTGGGGCAATTTTAATAAAGCTCTTAGTTAAAATAAATCTGGGAAATGTCTAGAAGAAGGGAACAAATATTGGTAAGGTCATTAATCAGAGTAGTTATATTATCAACAATAACTATCTAGGTGTCTGTTGTCATTGTCTCTTCTTTATTACAGAAATTATGGCCCATTCACAGGACACATCATTTCTTAGCAAGGGCTTTAGCTACACCCGGCATTTTTATAGTCATGATAGTAGGTAATATTTAACTTTGGATGACAGAATAAATAGAGAATTGGAGAGGTGTTCACCATTAGCAAGGAAAGAATGGGTTGGTTTATGCTGTCAACCCCATAGAAAATCTGGTGATTACACAGGACCCAAGGGGTCCCTTCAGGACAGAGCTGGGGGTGGGGGTGGGACAGGGGGAAAGGGGAAAATTACAGAGATGATTAGAGAGACATCCCCTGAGGCCCAGGAACTGGATGCTGTTTGGAAGGACTGGAACTCAATTTAAGAAGTAATTATTTTGCACCATCAAATTTTAAGATTTTATTTCAGAGACTTGGGCCTGCTTAGCCTCCTTAAGTTCTCTATAAAACTCAGGCATTATATTTGACTGGGACCCTCATTCCTTTTTTCAAAAGCACTTATTGAGGTATGATGCACATATAAAAAGCTGCACATATTTAATGTACACAAGTTGGTAAGTTTGGAGGTAAGTGTATACCCACCATCACCACGATCAGTGCCATAAACATCCCTCTTTATTATTATTTTGTGTGTGTGAGATAAGAATACTTAACATAAGATCTACTCTGTTAGCAAAGTTCTAAGTATCCAATACAGTATTGTTAACTATAGGCTTTCTGCTGGACAGTAAACCTCTAGGACTTATTCATCTTGCATAACTGACACTTTGTACGCTTTGACTAAGACGACTCCGTTTCCCCCTCTCCTCAGCTCTTGGTAACCACCATTCGACTTTCTTCTTCTATAAGTTTGACAGTTTTAGATTCTTCACATAAGTGGTATCATGTAGTATTTGTCCTTCTGTGACTGACATGTTTCACTTAGCAGAATGCCCTCCAGGTCCAGCCATGTTGTCTCAAACGTCAGGATTTCCTTCTTTTTTAAGGCTGAGTAATAATATATCCACTGTATGGCCACGCAGCAGCCACTCCCTATATGTAGAGAGTATGTGAGGGGAGATGAGTCAACAGCACAAAGAGAGGACGTAATAATGCCAGTGTGCAGAGGAGGCAACACATCCTACAGGTCAGATAGGAGGAGGGGGTCCCAAGGGGCTTTGGAAGCTTGTGTGAGAATTCTCGGGGCTTTGGGCTAAGTCCCTGTCAATAGCTGCCGTGGGATGAAGAAGTTGAAACTGAGCAGAAAGCCAGCCAGGACAGGTGCTAAAAAGTCGCCAGCACTTTATGATTAGAAAGAAATTGCTGTGGGATCACAGATCGCTGTTTTGGGAACATGAGGTTTTGGTTTTTTTTTTTTAAGCTGTTTATATTTTCTGTAATTTAGATCCTTTTTGTTCTCTCGTAGTGTTTTGTATGTTTTTAAAATGCTAGTCTGGTCAGCTGTGCTAAGAGGAACCAAGAAAGAGGTTTTTGTCCAGTTTGGACCAGAGTTTTAAAGGGAAAGTGGCTTACCAACCGCCTGACATGGTGGAAACAACGGATGCTGTTGCATCAGGGAGAGAGCCTCAAAGGGAAGGTAAATTTAGGGCAGCAGAGTTAGAAACCCTTGTTAGGACATTCCCCCAACACCAAGATGTGTTTATCAAATATGGGTCCATCTTTTCATCCCCACAGTCTGTTACTCCCCTAGTGGCCCAGACAAGAGGCAAGAAGGGACCTCAATGAACAATGAGAAGGAACAGTGCATGGGATTGGTGGCCCAGGGCTGGAGTGGGTGAGTAACTATGGAGTTTGCTCTCCAGAATGGAGCCAACAAACAGAAAATCTGGTCTTTGTCAGGAGATGGGGGAGGGGAATTCAATGTAAGCATGAACCACTGGGTGCCAAATACTCAGGCGTGCAGGTTACCAAATCTTTTTTTTTCAGTCAGTGAAGGAGAAGACACACATAGGCTGCAGAGGACCCCATCCAATGCCTAGGAAGGGGACAAGTGAGGGTTCCTGGGCTAACACAGCCCCTGAAGCAAACTGGAGCACAGGACAGAACTCGGGTAGAGAGCTGGAATCTAAAGCAGAGATGGGAGCAGAAAAGACCGTAGTCGTGACAGAATTGGGGGTGCCATGAGGACTGGGGACCACCCAGGCACTGTGGCACTGAGGCTTGGAAGAGTTACATCCTTTCAGACCCCACCCAGGCCTAGTACTCTAGGGCTGCTGCTAGAAGACCTTTGGTAGCTACAGATCAGTAGAGCTGGGAATGGGCAGCCACTGTCACTGTCAAAGTCCCAGGCTCTGTCCTGCCCTCACAATCTGTTCTGGTTATCTAAAACTGAGTAAGACGCCAACATGTAGTGGCTTAAAACAACAACAGCCCTTTATTTTGCATTTCAGACAGGGCAAGGGAGGGACCACTCTGCTCCATGTGTCTGGGCCCCATGACTCCAATGGCTGGGGACAGCACAGGGCTGGCAGGGCATCTTCCGTGGTCTCTCCTTTGTTCTCTCCAGCATAGGGCCTCAAGGTAGCTGGGCTTAGCGGTGGCTCAGGGTTCCAAGAGCAGTAATTTCCAGAGACCCAGGCAGAAGCTGCAAGATGTTTATGATCTATCTACAGAAGTTCCAGGATATGGTGATTTAGTGATTTCTAAATCCAGCCCAAGTTCAAGGGAAATGGTATAGATCCCACCTCTCGATAGAAGGAGTGTCAAAGAATTTGCCACCAGTTTTAATGCACCCCAGCATCTCACCAAATCCTCAGCAGGATCTCCCAGCTGAACTCCCTGTTCCCAGATTTTCAGCGATGGCGGCCAGGAGGCAGTAATGCAGAGAGTAGAAACAGTGAGGGCTTTGAAAGCCACCAGGCCAGCATTCTGGTCCAGGCAGGATCCACCACTCAGCAACTGGCTGAGCTTGTTAGGTTATTTATTACTTCTCAGAGCCATGGTTTCCTTGTGTGTAAAATGGGAATCTTACTACCATAGTGGCCAAGAAAATGTACTTCTCTGATCTTCCAGTGCAGAACCTAACTGACCAACAGGCCTCAGCTACTGAACCCTAAAATCTAGCCTCTGATTCTCATCCACAGCTTGGTACAGAGGTCAGTTTCCTGGGGCTGTTTCCAGTCCGTGCCTAAGTACAAGAAGCCTATTTCTGAGGGATGCTGGACTCCTGGGACACGCCAGTTATACTCGAGGGCCCCTCATGGCCTTGCTGAACTGTCTTAGAGCTACACTGTCCTATAAGATGCTTCCTTCCACTCAACCTTTCTTGCCTCTCTTCTTCACAAAAGTCACACCTGTATCCCAGGTCCAGCTCCCTGTCCGCGTTCCCTTATAAGTCTCTTACATGGTGCTCCTGTCTGGCACTGCTGTGGGGGGACTGAGATGAACAGCCATCTCCTCACAAGGCTGCTGTGGGTATGAAATAGGTGTGTATAAGCACCTAGCCAAGGCCTGGTATACAGTTAACGTTCATTCAGCATTTATTGAGCTCCTGCTGAGTGCAGACTTTGGCCTGGCTGCCTGGCACATACTGGTGAGCAAAGCAGGTTCACCAACTGCTTGAAGCCTCTTGCTGAGCCAACTGAGGCAGAATAAAGTCCCAACTCTCCTACGGGACACAAGAGCCCTTTAAGGTCTGATCCCAAGGGTCCTCCACACCTCCCACCCCACACTCTACACAGCTGAGCCTAGAGTAAAAAGGCACTTAACTTCTTTTCCCCTACAATTTTGCTCTTTCTCCCACAATGTCTTAACACAGCTCTTTCTTCTCGCTTGTACACATCCTTCACGTGACAAACCCTTACACATCCTCCAAGACCCAGTTCAACTGTGGGGTCCTCGGTCCCCCGGGCAGAGGTGCTTGTCTGCACAGATCTCAGCACGCATTTCGTAAACGCACTGGTTACACGGTGCCTTAATCGCTCTAACAGTGTCCCCGCGAACATGAGCTCATCTAGAGCCGGGGCAGTGTCGCATCCATCCTGAATCCCCCGCGCTTGGCACTCGGTAGGCCTGCAGCTCGTATCTGAGGAGGGGGTGGAACAAGCCGAGGA